GTGTGTGTCCCTCTGTGGGTGTGTGAGCAGTGTGTGTGTCCCTGTGGGTGTGTGAGCAGTGTGTGTGTCCCTGTGGGTGTGTGAGCAGTGTGTGTGTCCCCCTGTGGTTGTGGACAGTCTGTTTGCAGGTGTGACACTGCAAAGACGTGTTTGGGCTGCTGCTTCCTTTGCTCTTTCATTAGAAATAATCCTCCCATCTTGCCCTGGCACCCTGCAGAGGGGATTTTGGGTTCAGAGGCCTGCCTGGCCTTTTGGATTTCAGCTGATCCAGTCCCAGGTGGACAAGCTCAGGAGCAGAGGTTGGATCTGCCTGCAGAGTCCACACCAAGAGCGGTTCCCTGGGAGGATGCTCGGGCTGAGCTGGGTTACTCTGATCTGCTCCCTGTGGAACTTCCCTGGTTCTATCCCTCCCACATCCTCTCTCTTCTCCAAGGCCTCCCTTTCTCTCTCCCCTCAGGCAGTTTAAAAGGCACTGCTGGGTAGCACTGGTGGCTGCTGGGCTGTTGTCTCATGCCATGGGCTCTGCAGCACCCACGAGGGTCTGCCCAGTGAGCAGACTGGTGAGCTCTGGCTGCTGTGCCAGCCCATCTGGGCAGAAGGATCCAGGCAGGCACATCCAGCTCCCTGTCTTGGGGGATGGCTGTGGGGGAGCCAGTGCACCGGGAGCAAGGGGGAGCTCCATCCAGACCTGCTCCAAAGCCACGTTTATTCACGGGGCTCCTCGAGGCTGTCCCTTAGCACCACCTCCTGCATCAAAAGCTCTCAGTGCAGTTGTTCAGGGGCCAGGCACTTCCAGGAGGTGCTGCATCCCTGGGAGTCAGGCTGTGCTCAGTCCCAGCCCTGGTGGGTGTGCACAGAGGGCCTGCAGGGTGCTGGGGCATCACCCTTCTCTGGGGGTTGGCAGCTCCGGCCCCGCTGGCCACCTGACAGTTATTCAGTGTCAAAACACATGACTGAAACCATTCTTGTTTAATCCCAGATTAGAGCAAGTATTGACCCCTGGTTTTAGGAGATTACCTGTCTGCTCAGCAGCCCCTGCTGTCTGGGATGCCCAGGACATGAGGAGGCTGCAGTGTGGGAGCTCTTGCCGTGCTGTGATTCCTGGGGCTGTGCCTGTGCTGCCAGTGGTCCTTGGCCCTGCATCTTCTCCTCTCCATAGTCCAGGGATAATGAGCTGCTGCTGGATGTGACAGTCAGTGAAGGGGTGTTCAAGGCTTTCCCATTCCCCCCAGCATCCCCTGGGGAAAGGACACAGGGCAGGGAGGGGATGTGCACAGAGCAAGGTCTTGCAACAGCAGATGGATGAATCCCAGTTAGTGCCATGGCCCAGGCTGACCCTGTACCGGTGTGTTCCTGCTTCCAGAGGCACCAGTTCAGAGAGTCACAGAGTAGTCTGGGTTGGAAGGGACCTCTGGAGATCATCCAGTCCAACCCCCCTGCCAAGGCAGGGTCACCCCCAGCTGGTGACACAGGAACACATCCAGGTGGGTTTGGGATGTCTCCAGAGAGGGAGACTCCACACCCTCCCTGTGTGGGAGCTGTTCCAGTGCTCTGCCACCATCTGTGCTAAGAAGTTCTTCCTCATATTTAGGTGTTTTAGTTGTGTTTTAGTTTATGGCCATTAGTCCTTGCCCTGTCTCTGGGCACCATGAACAGAGTCTGGCACCACCCTCCTGACGCCCCCTTTGAGATACTCA